TAAACTTGACTTATTTATTGAGCTTACCTTATTTTTTAAGCTTGACTTATTTTTTAATCTCGACATTAATTTTATCAATGAAATTGCAGTTTAAAATATATTGTTAAAGGTACATTTTTAGTTTAAGCTTGGTTTACTATATAAGGACGTATGAAATAAAATCTTTTCCCATCTCTATGAAATTTGGCTCAGGTTTTCGGTAAGCGATTTAAAATGTTTGGCTCGCGTTTTTGCTCGTCTCTATCTTGGATGCTTTTTGAGAAATGGGTCTCAACTTTTAAACTAGTTCTGTTAACTGGGGGACCGTTTTTTTTTGAGATCTAGATGTTTCAGTCTATACATACGCCAATTTTTTTAAGCTTTCATTTCCTAAAAATTAACAAGATTTTGGTCTCCGATTTCAATACATCTATTTGACTATAGGAACCTAATTTTGCGTTACCCTAAATTATACAGTAACTTGATTATGAAACTTAATTTTCCTGACATTTTTAAAATACCTCTTCGATCTAACAATACATTTCATTGAATGAGTAGGTGTTTTGTTTAAAATAAAGCTATATGACAATAAATAAATTTCACAATACTATTACTAAAATGTATTATAAATTAAATAAAAAAGTATTCAAACCAAATATATTTTATTCGTCTAATAAATACAAACGTTCAAATAAACATTTCATGGGAAAAAATAATCATGATTTTTTAAAGATATTTCTATATATTATCACATTACATAAATTAATCATTGAGGTAATCAAAAAATTATTTTACACTCTTCGAGTTTTGAATAAATAAATCTGAAAAACCATAATGTAAACAAAAATTGCTTAAAATTTAACAAAACATGCTCATTCTTCACTTCTCACTGAATGATATTTTAATATTTACCGTACTACCTATAATACAAATTATCTGGAAAATGTATACGATCTATTAGTGATGTTGTAATTTGTGTGCCAAACAAAGTTGTTTATTGGCTATTTTTGAGAAAAGTAGAAAAAATTTAACCACATTCCACAATCAATGGCAACTAGTTTTGGTGCATAAAAGTGGTTTAAAACAAAGGCAAAAAAAATATTATTAGGAACATCAAAAATTATAAACACATATTATGTTAGAACGAATAAGAAACTTTCATTGAATGAAAGCATACTTAATGTTTCTATTTGGCACACAAATTACGTCACAGTAATACAATGGATTCCATTTCATAAGTCAACAGTTATTTACTGTTAACCTAAATAAGATACTAATTAAGAAACCTACAAACACACAGTGTGTACAAAAAGTAATATTTTGATAGGTGTACATTATAAAACAAATTTTACGAAATAAATCAAGGTATATAAGTCAACTAAAAATATACCGGGTGTACCATTACTCTAAAATAACACAAGAATATATATTTTTAAATAAAAAGAATCTAAGTAAGTGTTGTCGGTTTGTCTGTTTCGAAAAATCGAAATATTCAAATTTTGTTTCAGATGGCGTAGGAAAATTTTTAAATTTCTTTTCATTTGAAGAAAATAAAAAAAGAATTTTATGAAAAAATTAAAAATTCAGGTATATAATCGATATTTTTGACAATCTAGCATTTACATTTTTCAAAATTTGAATTATTGAATGCTTTTCCTAAAAAACTACTTGAAGAAGAAGTTAAAGCAAAACAAATTGTGTGGGAAAATTAAAAAAAAAATTTTTTTCAGTAATTAATGAAAAATTAAGAATGAAATGCGTTTTCAAAATTTTTTTATTGGATGAAATTTTACTGTATTTAAATTAAATAGATTACAAAGAAGACTAGTATTTAAAAAATATATCCTTGGGATATCATGAAGCAATGGTGCAGGTGCACCTTGTATATTATTTCTAATTGACTTATAACTTGATTCATTTCATAAAACTTTTATTGAAAACGTTTTTTTTAAAGAAATTGAAATATTAGCAAATTTCGTTACTTTTTGTACACACTGTATTCAAATAAAATCTTTTGACATTAAATTAAAACCCTACTATACTACTTTAATACTATATAAGTACCATAGAAAAATAATTTACAAGATACATAATTAATACTTAACAAAAATGACGTTCTGATATATTTGGCATTCCAACGACATGTCCAAATAGCTGCCTGTTGGCTTTGTTAGGGCCAATGATATACAGAGTGTACCAATCTTTTTGTAAAGTTTGATATTTTCCTTGTTGTAAGAGATATTAAAAAAATGTATTAACAAAATTTACTTGAGGGCAACAGGCAACCATTTTGTTTGGAATGCCTAATATTAAAATAAACAAAATAATAAATTAATATAGTTAGATGCCATTCAAACTATGACGTTTAAGTAGATATATCAATAAATTTAAATTAGCAGAAAATGGAGCACCATTTCTATTTTTGTGCTTGTGCTACTGCACCAAATTTCTAAACTCACTGTAATGAAAACTCAACATTATCTAACATAAATATTGCTGTATTGGCCGTATTGGTTTTCGAAAACATCACAAAATTGGTTTATCGTGTTAAAAATAGCGAATGTTTCATAAAAAATGTTTCTAAGGTAGTTGGGCCAGAATTTTTTTTCATGGCCTGCTTTAGAAATATTTTTTGTGGATCACTCTATAGTAAACATATTTGAAAGTATATCAAGTTGCCTTTATAGTTGCCATTTCATTATGATATCAAGTAAATCCATCCAATTTAAAAAAGAAATTGAACGAGATTGAAAAAACAATAATCTCAAAAAAAAACTGATTCAGACATTTTAATGTATAATCTTTTAAAAATAGCGAAGTTTGTGCAAATAAACTCAATAAATTCGATTATTTCTAACACCGACATCAATACTTTACAAATACGATGATTGAAGAGGCTTACATAGGTAAATCTACAGTAAAACATCTACAGATTTATCAAAAAACATTTAGAGCCGTAAATTCTTTGACATTGATAAAGACCCTGCTTAATTTCTATAGCATATCCACAAATTAATATGAATTTTAAGAATTAAAGTCAAATTATGTAACAGTAGATCTGTGAAGTTAGGCAATTCATTTAATTTGGTTTGACAGATATTTGCAAGTTTAATTCTTGAAATTCAAATCTAAAAATCACACTGCATATTACTAAATAATATTCTGGTCGTTGCTAAAGTTATAAGTATAAAAGGTTGTAAAGTCTATTGGAAATATCGAGTAATCTCTCGAGGTCTAAAAGGACCTTGTTCTTTTCTTATGTAAAGTGGTGACTGGTCAAAAGTAACCAAAAGTGTCAATGGAGCCCAACTCAATCCTATAACTAGTTTTCGAGATACAGGGTACTAAAGTTAAAAATTGCCCAGTTTTTTGGAATTTTTATTTTCAAACTTATGAGCTAGATTGAATTTATGTTGCATACATACGTTTGCTACATATTTTATCAATACATTAGTACATACGTACAATTAAAAATATTTATAATTACAGGGCGATTTACAAATGAATGGCTTTGGTTATTTTCAAAATCTCACTACATACTAATTCTACTGTGACATCAGGAAAATATATTTTCAAAAATTACTACTCAATATGATATTTTGGCGATAAAATATTTCTTATACAGGGTGTTTTATAGAGAGAACCACAACAGATATTTTTTAAGGATTAATTCAAAACCCTATGCTTATGAATTTATTTTTGGGATAAGATAATACAACTAAAATACGTGTACTTCTAAGCTTCAAAATATACAAAGTGATTTATTTATTGAAAGGTATTCTATTTTAAGAAAAGAACAAAAACCACGAACACCCTACATTCTAAAATTTTCCCGGTCAAATGTAATCATTTGGTTTTTGTACTTTTCTTAAAATGGATTACTTTCCAACAAATAAATCTCCTTGTACATTTTGAAGCTTAGAGGATTACATATTTTAGTGGTATTACTTTTTCATTACCAATCATTCTTAAGGATAGGGTTTTGAAATAATCCTTAAAAAAATAACTTTATGTTGTGATTCTCTCTATAAAACACCCAGTATAAGAAATGTATACTTTGCAATATTTTGTCGTCAAAATATCATATTGAGTAGTACTTTTTGAAAATATACTTACTTGATGTCACAGTAGAATTAATAAGATTTTGCAAAAAAAAACTAGATACCACCATACATTTGTGAATCGCCCTATAATTATAAATATATTAAATTGTACGTATGTAGTAATGTATTATTAAAACATGAAGTAAACGTGTGTATACATAAAAAATTCAATCCCTTAAGTTAAAAAGAAAAATTCTGAAAAACTGAGCAATTTTAAACTTATCTCGAAAACTAGTTACAGGATTGAGTTGGGCCTCAATTACACTTTTGGTTAATAGATTGAGTACAACAAAATAAGAACATTACTGGGTCCTTTAAATTATTATTATTATTATTATATTATTTTGTTAGTATTACCGATTATTATTTTTTAAATAATCTAATCTCGCGAACAGAATACTTGCTAAATTTCAAAAGTATAATGTTATTTTTTACAGGGTGAGTCGATTATTGTAAAATATATGCCTGTTTAAAAGAGTTGCTTATAGATTTATTATCAGTAGTCTGCAATGGCGTCATTTTAGTAAGTAAATGAAAACAGAGTAGAGTGAAAAATTGCAGACAAATTGTTTTTATTGGGGGATAAGCAAGGTAAAATCCCATATTGGCGTGGAAACTTAAAAAAAATTGTAATGTATTTATCTGAATTCCAACTAGGGCTGGGCGATTATCAAAATAAATAATATATTATTTTAAATAATTGAATAATCAATCGGAATAATCGATTAATCGAAATAATAAATTAATAGAAATAAGCTACTAATCGAAATAATCGACTAATCGAAAATAATCGATTAATCAAAAATAATCGATTAATCGAAAATGATCGTTTAATCGAAAATAATCGATTCATCGAAAATAATCGATTAATTGAAAATAATCGATTAATCAAAAATAATCGATCAATTGGTTATTTTGCCCATACCTAATTAGAACTGGTCAAAGGAAAAAGTGTAGAAACAAAATTTTATAAAAAAAATTGTCGGAATCTCAATCCTTTGTATTTAATTCCCAAAAAGATAAAGTTAACCAAAAATCAGTTTTTCCACATTTTGACTTTCAAAAAATGATTTAGACAAGGCCAGCAATTTAAAAGGTATAGGTGACATACTACCAAAAATTTAACCTGTACCATATTTTTATTTATATTTTTTTTTTGTTAAGATCGCCCGTTTTATATGTATATTATTCTTTCGGCTATTATTTACAAAGTTCTATCATTTTTGTTTGACATTCGATTGTTAGATGCAACGAAAAAGGTAGATCGTATATGTATTTCATTTCATGTTGGCAGTATTGTTTCTGGTACAACATGCGAATATTAATTAAAAAAACTATTTTTAACTGTCCCCAATTTTGGTCCCCGCTTTATCGACTCACCCTGTATACGTCGTTTTTAGTAATGATAAAAGTATTGTCAATGTTCTAATCTTCAAAATTGAGCTAAAATATCTATAAGTAAATAATTTTGTCAAATTGTCGACAGTGACTCATTTCAATTTTTGGATCTCATGAAAGTAAATTTAATATCGATTTTTGGAAAAACTTCAAAAGGGTCAATTTTGTTTTTAAATTTTTCACTTTTTGACATAATATTCGGAGCACAATTATTTACCTTTAAGAATTTTCTCATGAAAGGTAACACAGTAATGTAACACACTTATTACATTACCATGTTGGTAACTAGATGGAGCGTTAGGATATTTAATAAAAAAATAAATGGGGATTGCTATGAAATTTTGTAAAATATGTAAAATTTACACACCTCACCCTGTATATCCGAATATTGCGTCAACAAATGTAGAATTAAAAACAATAATTGACCTGTTTTGGATTTTTTTTTCAAAAATCGAATATATTTCTTACTTTTGACTCCCACTGTATGTATATATAGCATTTTTTTATCATCAGTGACACAAAAATTAACATTTCTGTGTCCGAAAACACAATTTTTTAATTTCACACATTTCTGTCTAGTTTAAAATAAAAGTCACTATCAACAATTTTACAATGATACTGTTAGTAGCTACGATAGAGGCTTAAATTCGTTTATGATATGAAGTCAAAATTATTTATAATTATCGCATATTTTATGATCAAATCACACTTTAAATTAAAAAATATCTTTAAAGCTACCAAATTACAGTTTGGTCAAATTTGAAAATTTTAAATGACCCCAATTTGTAAATTGTACCCTTATCTATATTATAGAAATGTTTTACATCACGAATTTTTAGAATAATTCTGTATAATTTAAACGAATTTATTCTATTGATGCTTTTAGGTGCCATTTAAAATCTGTCGTTTGAACAATAAAAAAAGAATATTTTTGTATAAGCGTAACCCTTGAAAAAAAAAAAATAATAAAATAAAATTGCATATCCTAAAAAGATCACATTTACACGTGGGCTCGATTATTGCCGTTTAAATTGCTCAACTCGTTTGGTTCTAATTTCTTAAAGCCTTTTGAATCATTGAAGAGGTTCGAAAAGAATCTTGACTGAAAAAGAAAAGTATATTAATATTAATAATATATAATAACTAATTGTAAGTTTTGTTCAAATGGAAAAATAAAGGAGGATGATAAATATGAGCAACAAGAACCAAAAACAAAAATCAACTAATGCTGTTGTTCAAAAATGACAAGCAATTTTTTAACAGATGCTTTAGTTGTACTTTCTTTATGATCCACCCCTGTATCAGTAATGTAACGTAATAAAGTATAGTTAAAATAAGAAAAACAATATATTTCATTATTCAATCTATAGTTAGCATAATAGTGTATAGTTAAAATAAGAAAAACAATATATTTCATTATTCAATCTATAGTTAGCATTACCTAATTTAATAACCTTACATAAAATAAAAATCATGTTTCAAATTACAAAAATAATAAATTAAAATCAAAGCTAACCCTGGTAACTACCGTTTAACGTATTTTCAAATATAAATACTTCTGCTTGGTAACAAGCTACATGCGAAGCAGTTGAAAACCTAGGCGAGATATAGCTTTCTCACTTTGTGGAAAATACCCTGCTTAAATAAACATAATCTTCGACTCGCTCCCACTAACAGACCTATTTCACTCTAACCCGCATAAGCCCGTTCAAAATACGAGTATATTGTTAAATAAATGCAAACGCTCGCTCAACATCTCTCTCTCTCTCTCTCCACGTTGAAATTGTTCAAACATTATTTCTTTAAACCAATCACCTTCTAGACTCGATACAAGTCATTTTTCAAGTTGAGAACTATGTTAACCTCCAAACAAAAAAGAACATAATCTCTCGGCGCGAATCAGTCGCAAATTTAACATTAAAACAAATGATATAAAAGGTTTTTTAAACAAGTATTTGTTTGTATTTAGTTTTATGTAAAAGTATTTTCATCATTCAATTGTTATGTGGTTATTGAATACACAGTTTGAGAAGTTAAAATAAACCAGTTATCAGAAGCAAGTACTTTAATTTCTGCATTCCACAACAATCAATCAATCAATCAGTCTAGTAGCAAGATGTTCTACAAGATTCTTCATTTATAAACAGTCCACAACTTTATCCGGTAAGACGGAAGGAACCTTTAGCCAGGCTGCGATAATTTAACAAAAACATCGCCGATAAATAATGTAAAAACAGTTTTTTTTTAACTTCGAAATTTTGAACTATCAAGATATTTATATTAACAATTTTGTAGAGGTCAACGAGAAAAGTTTAATGCCGCCGTCCGCATATTCATAGCGGAAATATTTAATTTCAAAGTTATTAGATTCTTTAGTCAAAATTAACTTAAAATTAGAGCCAATTTAAAATGTAACCGTTAAAACCGCGTGAACTCATTTATTTCCAATAGTAATGCAAGTAAGCCGGTTCTGGAACACTACTTCAAAATTTAGCAGCTAGATGGCGCCACCTATAAGTGATACAGAGCTGGCATAGTTGCACTACTTCGAATTGTTGTGCTATTTAAAAAATATACACTTGCGTTATTTTGGAGTAATGGTGCACCCGGTATAATTTTTTTAACCGACTTATACTAATGACGATTTAGTTTATAAAACTTTTATTTAAAACTGTTTGGAAGAAATATTAGCGAGTTACATTACTTTTTGTACATACTGTGTATAAAGATCAAGAACAACTACTTATAAATTACTTTCATAAAAAATATTTTCTCGAATGTGGGTCCCATTTTGACAAAATTAATAAAATATGTGTTTTTGGTAGACGATAAAGCGATTTAGAAAAATCTAATCAATAAAACATTTGGTTTTCATTTTCTCTTGATGAACTTTACAGAATAGGGATTTTCGCGGGCAAAAAATCTTTGCACTCCCTGGAAATCGTTTTTATTACTATAAATAACCCTATTCGCTCCGTGCGTGATAGCAGCGCCAATTCATTTATGTACTAATGGACTATTTTTTCGTATACTAACAATGCAATTTTTAATAGAATTCGTAATTAAAAAGTATATATGTTATTTTTAATAAAAGTATATGGATCTGTAAAACAAGTAAAACATTAATTTATTATTATTATTATATATTTTTATCGCTTAAACTAAGAAAAAGTAAGTATAATTAATAAAAATCAATATTAAAATATAAGCAGGCAACAGTATTTACGGGAAAATGTATGAGAAGTTGCCTTTGAAGAATGAACCTATTCTGTCAAAATAAAAAAATACTATTAAATATTAGTGTGGAGTTAAAATGTATAAACGGAAGAATTGTTATTTATATTTTCATTTTTGTTCGAAAGAAAACAGAATGAATGATTAAAAACTGGTTTCCTAGCAGTAAGTAACAACATTGCATTGCAGCCACATACAATAATCAATCTAGTTGCTGCTAAACATTTAAAATGAAAAGGATATTGAAGAACATCGTAAAATGATAACTTTATTGTTTATTTAAAACCTTTTAAGTTTCTGATGCCTATTATTTCCAGTATTACTGTTATTATTACAAAAATAAAGATAATTTTTCTTCTTATTATACACCTATCCATATTTCTTTGATTTAATTTCCACTTTGCTAATGAAATTTTTTATAATTTACACGGTTTTGTTATATCACCCTAAAATGCACAAATTATGCTCACTAGCGCTAGTATCGCTTTTGCTTCCCCTACCATGACTTCGCACTGATCGAATAGGACGATAAGATTAATGTGATAATTACTCATCTATGAAATAATAAATAATAAAATTCTTTCGAAGTTCCTAAATAAATTACAAAATTATCCTTTTTGGAACCCCCAAAGTGAAAACTATTTCACTATTTCGTAGGGGTAATTTTTGTAATTTATTTGGAAAGTTTCAAATAATTTATATACCAATATAATATACCAATATAATAAATAATAGTTAAAAATACTTACTGTAATCACAGCCACAGTGGCACCGAGCAGAAGACCGCACAGTACATCGCTCCAGTGATGTTTGTAGTCTGATATTCTCGTCATAGCTGTAAAAATCGATGAAAGAACTGCCAAAAATTGAAGGGTGTGCTTTAAAAGTTTCGATCCGTCCCAAGTCATACGACTGTGCAAATAAATCTGAAAAATAAATTGGATGAGTCCAAACAAAAAAAGGGATTTGTTTCAATTTTTATTCGTTTAAAAGTTATACTAAAACGTTCATTAAAAATTCACTAATCTAATAAAACTTTGAAAAAAAAATGTTAATTACGTCATTTGCTTGTTATTCGACAGGTCACATTCTCAAGTTCTGTCAAAGTTTATCTGGGTTTTAAATTGGAACAAAATTGTTCCCCAGTGTATACAATTATTATTATTTTCTACAATGAACTAAACAATAATATCGCAAAAATTTGATCGATCTATCCGCATATGACGACATTATATTATATGCATTTTTAGAAATTAAACATTTTTTAAATGCATCATGACCTTTATAAAAACCAATATCCAATTAACCATTACCAGCAATAACCAATTAATTGTAGTTAATGTATGGAATTCTTTATAAGGAAGTGTGCCTATAATTCAGTTAAATATCGCAAGAAATAAATGAATAAAAATATATTATAAAGACAGAGTTTATCGTCCAAGCACTCACTCGGAAATTATTCAAATAAATAATCTTTATTATATTCCTCTGAAAATTAAACGACTTTTTTTTTAACAGACGTAAATGGCACTTGAAGCTTTTTTCCGCAACCTAGTTCTACAGCGAGTGCTTTTAACTTTTAACACTCAATGACAGAGATAAAAAAAAACATTAAAGAACAGGTCCGGATCGATAAACATTGACGTTATCTTCTATGTAATTTTCTGTTTATGAAATCGTTTTCTTAAAGTAACTCGTTCTAAATTATATTAAAAAATTCAACTTAAATTCTCAACTCAGTTTTTAAAATGGTACAGAGGCTTCAAAATATCTGTTACTCACGTGATCTGTTAAAACAAGAAATTAAATTAAAATTGCCTTTTTTTTAATGACTTATGTTAACTTAATTGTCACTTCTGTTAAATACGCAAGTGGTATTGTTTTGGAATTATTGGTAAAAGTATTATTTGTACTTTTATCCTAATGGTGACGAAAATTTGGTCATGTGAGCTGGAGGTGGTAGCGTCGTAATAATAAAAGAAAATATTAACCACTATGACGAGAACAAAATAGGAACAGAAGAAACACAGAGGTAACAGCAGTTACATAAAAACGAATAAGTACAGTTTCGCAGTCGGAGCAGTATATATCCCACCACGATATAATTTGAAATAAAAAAATCGCAGAGAACTCTTACGACAAATGAAAGAAAATTTTATCTTGGGAGGTGATTTTACAAGATTTTACAAGACGTCACTTTAAATGTCTTATCTTATAATGTCAACAAATACGATAGGTATGTGTCGTCGGTAAAAAAATTATATGAAATTTTGTTGTCATATAGTAAATTAAGTTATTGATGTATATGATAAGCAACAGTGGCCTCAGAACAGACCCTTGGGGAACACCACGAGTGACATTATATATTTTTTTAAATTAGATTTTGTATTATTTTCTAAGTGAATAAATTACGGTCTTTTTTCCAAAATGGATTTTAATAAGTTTAAATACACGCCTTTAACATCATACTATTCAAGTTTCTCCAATAAGAATTCATAAAATACATAGCTAAACGCCTTGGAAACGTCGCACATCGTGAGAAGCGAATGTTGACATTCCTCAAGACCCACTATATCACAGCATAGAGATGAACATATCTTCCACGTCACATCAAGCAGATTGTAGATCTATTTCTTCTAAAACCGTACTTGGCTTGAATTTTTTTAAATAATTGTACATATAGTCTATTTTTTATCAAAATTTCGATCACCTTGGAAAATACAACAATTATTTATATTGCAAAGGTAAAAGTTTTGAAAATTTTAAAAGGATCAGGAAAAATACCTCGATACAAACAGTTAATTATTAAAGTTCTAAGTGATCTATTAAGAAATCTATAGAATTTTTTAAAACTGTATCAATTAAGTCACAAGCATCTGTTGTACGTTAAACTGTGATATAATGTGATACATCAGAACTTTCTTTGCAGAGGTGTATTTCTATTAATAGTGATTAACATTTAAGAAATGTACATAATGTTATTATACCTAAACATAAATTAACTAGTCTATAAAGACCCGTTGATTACGATAATCAAACCATAAAATAAACTTCCAGATACTATAAAATTCGTAAACAACGTAAAGTCTTTTAAATCCGGATCTGTCTTATTCTATTACGTTACAAAAATAGTACTCACTGCAAAATACAACATTGTGTACATCGAAAAGGAGGAATGTCCAGAAGGAAATGAAAGCCTGTAACAAAAAAAACCAAACGGCCATTTGCAATACAAAAAAAAAACTTTTAAGTGGTGTTGTGTTATGTAAGTGTGGTGTACTTAAAAAACTATGATGAATGTGTGATTCTAAGTATCGTATCTTCACTGATGTCAAGGAAGTATTATTTTATTAAATCAAAATTACAGTGATTAACGAACCAAGTAAAATTTTTAAAAACTAACATACAAATCAACATTATAAATTTGTTGTTAATAATGGAAAAAATAATGAATTTATATTTTCAAGGGATGGGACAATTAGATCAATAAAAAACATTACATGCTTTATTCTACATTCACAAATAGGTACTGTCAAGAGAAGGAGAAGAAACAGAAAGAAAACGAAAGAGATGAGAATAAAAGGCGCGAAAAAAGATAAAATAGATAGAGAACAAGAAAAAGATGAATAATGAAGAACATGAAGAAAAATAGGAATGACAAGTAGTTCTACTTCTACTTGTCATTCCTATTTTTCTCTCGAAAACGTAGACTCATAGATAATGAGATTCACGGATAATTGAACTCACGGCTAATTGGACTCACGGATAATTGGACTCGCAGCTAACTGGACCCACGGATAATTGGACTCGCGGACAATTGGACTCGCGGACAATTGGACTCGCGGATAATTTGACTCACGGCAAATTGGAATGCTGGATAATTGAATTCACGGAAAATTGGATTTACAGATAATTGAACTCACAGAAAATAGGACACACAGATAATTTGATTTAATTCATAATTGGAGTCACAGATAATTACACTCTAGGATAATTAAAGTCACAGTAAATTAGACTCACGGGATGAATAATTGAATTTATGGATAACTGGACTCACGGAAATTAGACTTACTGAAAATTTGACTCGCGGATACATTGACTTACTTCATAATTGGACTCATGGTTAATTAAATTCACCGATAATTAAACTTGCGGATAATTGAATTCACGGATAATTAAATTTAGAGATAATTGGACTCACATATAATAAAACTCATGGATAATTCGATTTAATTCATAATTGGAGTCTTAGAAAACTGGACTCGCAGATGGTTGGAATCACAACTAATTGTATTCACAAATAATTGAATAAACAGATAGCTGAACTCACTGATAATGGAATTTACAGAAAATTGGACTCACGGATAAATTGACTTAATTCATGTTTGGACTCACAAATTATTGTACTTCGGGATAGCTGGACTTGCGGGTAATTGGACTAATAGATTAGAATTCCTTTTAAATTCCTATGTAAAGTTCTCTAATAAATTTACTCCTCGAGTAATGACAACCTACCTCATATCCTTCATAACCTTTTCGTCGTTCTTGTAGTGCCAATTCGTGCACGAGTAAGTCTCATAATACTTGTACAAGGAGAAGTTTCCTTGGCAGACGTCGGGGTTGCATACCGTAAGAAAATGTGGCCTCAGCCGCCCCACGGTGTACTTCATGACGTCAGTGGTGAGTTGAGAACAAGCTGCGCCGAACGCGAATATGCCGAATGCGCAGTATAAGTTATAAATCCAATTGGGGATTTTGAATCCTAGGAATATGATGGATCTGGAGTCGTTCGGCCTGTTTAGGTATTCGGTCATGACCATCTGAAAAAATAAAGAATGAAATTAGAAAAAAAAAAATTAACACGTGCCTGAAATAGTAGTTTGTGCAACAAGAGTGAATATGATGAGCATATCGATATTTTATAAATGCGTTAAAGTAGGTATTTGATTATTACTAAAATACGTTATTCAATAAAGAAATCATTTAACAAAAACTATCTTTCAAAAATACCCAGTTATTTTATAACAATTTAAAAAAGGTTTTTTTTGAGAATGTTCAAAAACATTTTCGAAATAATACATCTTATACATGAAAAATATAGATAAATATTTTCTGTTCACCCACATAGATATTAGCTTATTTACGCATATTCTACAAGACGAAAAGTATCTATTGCGTTCAACTGATCGAATATATTTCATATGCATTCTATAGTTCGGGATACACTGAGAATGCTGTATGGCCAGGCATAGGCAATGTATTTCTAATGAGAGACCGGCACACTGTGTTGCCGTCTTTCCGATAACTGTGACAGGGTAGGCCTAGTAGTAGTCAATGTTATTAAAGCATGTATTCTTGGATGCATACATGATTACCGTTTGGCCGTCTTCACGGCTTTCTGCAGAAAGGAAGCAACCCACAATTTTTTAGACTTTCGCATAATATTGCATTAGAACCGTAGCCTTTATTGCAAAAAAAGATCCAGTCCACATTCTGGTACCTAGCGGTATTTGTTAGCCAATGAACCAACGACTAGAATGGTTAAGCAAGTAACCTCCCAGCAGAATCAATCCAAGCGGCTTGGTTTCTTTCTGCATAATAGAGAAGAGAGTTGGTGACAGTTCGTTATTTGGTTCTCTGTGAGATTTGAGTGTGAAGTATTAAAAATAGGAAAACAAATATGTTTGTGATACAATATGAATGATAATATTAGCATATCTCAAATAATTCTTCTGATGACCAAAGCTATTGGATAGGAGAAGGAAAGCCCAATCTTTGGTCAGGTAAATCGAGTATTAAGATAATTCACTGGTCTACAGTGGTTTTGTTGCCCTAGATATGAAAATGATTTTGGGTCTATTTATGCACACAATTCATGAAACTATCAATGATTTTGTAAGATTTGCTCTCATTTTTTTTTAAATCTTTATTTTTATTTTATATTACAAAAATAGAAAAACAAAATACAAATTAACAGATATATTTATAATGTTAGTTCTGTTGTGAGAAATTAGGATACATCGAAGTAAATAAAGAGGAAAATATCTGAAATATGTTTTATATTTCCATAAAACGCCTTTTATGAGCTTTTCTCTCATAATTTTTCAGTGGACAATCTCTTTTCAAAGACCAGCAGTAATCTGCCATCATGTGACAATCCCATCGACCCTGATACCTTTCCTCCATCACTTTTAGATCTTGGTGAAACCGCTCTCCCTGTTCCTCACTATAATTCCCTAAATTATCTGGAAATTTATCCAGATGATTGCGAAGATAGTGTAACTTAACACTCATATTTGCTCCTAAAGTCTGAAAGTTTGTCAGCATATCTTGCACAATTTCTTCATAATTTGTTGCTTTATGGTTACCTAAGAAATTTTCGACTACCAACACGTAACTTTTCCAAGCTTTACTTTCCGGAACAGTCATAACTTTGATAAAATCTGAGTCTTTTATTAATTGCCGTATTTGAGGACCATCAAATATTCCACCTTTCAATTTTTCCATACTAAGCCTCGGAAATTTTCTGCAAATATAATTAAAACAATCTCCATCCTTGTTTAGAGCTTTTAAAAACTGCTTTATCATACCTAACTTAATATGCAATGGTGGAAGTATGATTTTGTCTCTGCTCACCAGTGGCTCCCTTATTACATTGGCTTTACCGACAGTTAAAGAATTTCTTACAGGCCAAACATCTTGTTCCCAGTGAAGTTGCTCCGCTCTACTGTCCCACATACAAATAAAGCAAGGGTATTTTGTGTATTCACTTTGTTGGCCTAGTAAAAAATTAACCATTTTTAAATCCACACAGATCGGCCATTCATGCTCCGAATATTTAATTTTCTCTAAAACTAATTTTACATTTTTATATTCTTCTTTAAGTTTCGTTGAATGGGCAATTGGAATTGATGCAAACTTATTTCCATTGTGCAATAAGACACATTTTAAACTTCTTTTGCAACTGTCAATGAAAAGGCGCCATTCAGTCGATTTGTATTCCTTTAAACCCATGTCTAAAAGCAGATTCGCGATATCATTACAATACACCAATCCCTGATCGTCACTAAAAAACTGTAATAACTCTTTTTCTCGCGTTCTGTATGTTGTAATTGTTACGGTTGGTGCTAATAGATTTTTTTCTTTCAATCTTGAAGCTAACAGTTCTGATCCTTGTTTTGATAAATTGAGATCACGTATTAAATCATTAAGTTCATTTTGAGAAAATAACTTTGACGTAGATGTTTCACCCTCCCATTCACTTCCACTGCTAGACGGTCCCGATTTCTGTGAATTTGGCAACATCATTATTTCTGAGGGCATGCGAATTACTTTTGAAACGTAAATAGGCCGAGGGAGATTTTCACTGTGTGGAACCGGACATTTCGTAGACTGTAAGTCTGGGTATTTCCACTTTTGATTTCGATTGAAACCTTTAACATCTACTACACAAAAGTAACAATCATCAAAATGATTCGTAGGCTCCATCCAGATCATAGGAATACCAAAGTCTAATCCAGAACGTTCTCCTTTTTTCCACAACCGTAAAGACTCAACACAGCATTTACAAACTTTATTAGGAACCCATGGTTTACCTAATTTGTCCATTCCAAAACCGAAATATTCAACATAACTCTCCTTGACAAAGTCTGTGAGATTTCGTTTTTGTTTTTTTGATCTATAAACACCGCAAATATAACAAAATAAATCACTACAATATTTACACTTTCTCCGCGACGAACTCATATTTTAGAAGACAAGACGAATATATCAGAATGGACATACAGTAATTGAAACAAAATATTAATCCATGACAACTTAACCAGATTCACGTGTAAGTACTTCAATATTGTCATATAACTGAGATTTCAGCTGTTCTGTGGAGCAAGGCGTCTGAGAGGTGGGATCACGTGATGTTTGTATGCGCTAAAAAGTTGCGCAGAAGCCTTAATCATGACTGAAGAACTTAATTTTATTTCTAAGAAGCCGATAATTGTTTAACACATAAGACATGCAAAAATCATAAAAATACGAGCACATTGAGAACTTTCATGAATATATTCGAAATCTGGACACTTGAAAACATAAAAATTCGCGATGATATCCAGGGCAACAAAAAAAAATTTTTTTTTGTAGAGCTGTGAATAGAAAAATTGATGTTGAGAATAAAAAAGTTAGCTGTTTAAAAACACGTAAGATACTTCTTAATAAAAAAAACATTTTTAATTTTTCTGAAAAACAAATTTTGAAGACAACACTAATGCGAAATAGATATCAGAAAAACAAATGGGTCGTCCGGCATTATTTAAAGACTTGCTAATACCACTGTGGCTTAAAGGAAATAGTATAAATTCAAAGTTAGAAAACAAAAAAATCTGTGATGCATTTAATTCCGAACGATTGCATGTAATTTTATGAACATATAACCGACATGGACATCGACGACAATGTGGATGGATTCAGCGGAGAGCCCCGATTTTGAACTGGAACCTATGATGGTAGAATAAATTAAAAAGACAATATGTATTTTTTACCTATTTCCTTTAACAATAAAGTATCTTTAACCAAATAGTGCTAACATTTATTTTACAGATAGGATCCGACCCACAAAAACGAAAAAATACAAGTGAAATATTTTCTTTTTTAAATTTGTAAGCTAGCGCCACATTAGGCAGAAGTTCAGCCGCCGATCTTCAGCAGCAGAACGTCTGCTGTAGACAAATCCTATAATCTCTTACGAGCAATTCGTTAACTCGCTACATTAAGCTGAAGATCAGTTGAAACGCATAGCATTTGAATTTACTACGCAAATATCTGTGGCTCATTTTCGGCTGCTAAACTTCTGCCTAATGTAGCGCTAGCCTAGGAATTCATATTGTATACGAATATTTAAATCCCATGAATTTTTTATAATTGTTAAAACTTTGACATTTAAATACGCAATAACTTTTTTATGGGGTTGATTCAATTGTGATTTCTTACCTCCAACACGGAGTTTAGGAAACTCAAACGCAATCAATTGCGAACATTTTTACATTTTTACAATGTTTAAAAAACTTATCAGACTAATCAGCTCATACAGAGTACGTCCATAGAAAAAATAGAAAAAACAAAAACACCATTCACACTGTCCAATTCATAGAAGTTTAAAATTCTAGAGCTAAGATAATAGATAATATATTATATACAGAAAACTAACACTGAACCCTGAGCCCTGGGGAACTCCTTCTGTTATTAGCCCGGGAGCGGATTTAGCATCTTCTATAGCTACAATCTGAGATCTTCGCCGCAGATAGGATGCAGCCCAGTCATTCGTGACACCTCGAACGCCTATGCGATACAGCCTTTCTAAGAGAAGATCATGATCTACAGTGTCAAATGCTCTACTAAGATCGAAATAAAGAGCTAGTGGATATTTTTTATTATTTAGGTGATTATAGACATTATTGCAGAGTTCACTTATTGCAGTTTCTGTTGACCTTTTTTGTCTAAAGCCATGTTGCCAGTTGGGTATTAGTCCCTTCTGTTCTAAAAAGTTGGTTAATCTCATATTGTAGCTATAGTCAATGATTTTAGCAAATTGCGACTGTAGACTAATATTTCTGTAGTTGCTAACCTCGTTCACGGACCCTTTATTCTTAAATATTGACTTTAATATTTTCAGTACATTCGGATAGATTCCCATACAAAAAGACTTATTAATTATGTGTGAAAGCGGATATGTCACTTATTGCTTTTAGAGCTTTCCCTGGTGTTGTTTTTTTAGTTGTTTTAGATATGATTTCCTCTATCTCATAAGGTGTGGTTGGAGTAAGAGAGA